GGTATAATTCCGTGTACGTACAGTATATAGTTATACTGTAGTAATCACTATTAATTTATTTTTTTTAAATTTCTAATTAAATTTTACTACAGAGGAATTATAAATTTTTTTTAAATATGTAAAATTAGAAAAATAATTAAAACTGTTACAATTAATCCTTTAGTTGAGGGGTTTTATGGTTTTACACGTGGACTAACAAATGTTAATTACGAACGCTGATTTAACATCTATTTAATTACATAATTATCGGAATTTTATTAAGGAGGATTTAAGGGTTTCGCACGTGCTTGTTTAAAATCCGCTTAATTATATATGTACTTAATTCCCGGAATTTAGTTTGTAACCGGTAATCGGAAATTTTGTTATTAGTTTCCGAATCATTGTAAATCTATTACATACCAAAAAAGATTTGGAAAGATATGTTCCATTGAATGATTTCCAAATATGAAATTTTTTTTTGGAAATGATCATAATCGAGATTAACCTTAAGTTCTAAGATCAAGATGAAAATTTTAGTTCCTCTCAATATCCCGCAATAATCTCACAATATCTCACAAATGTTCTCAGTATTTTTCCGTATTTCTCAGTGTTTCTTATTGAATTCAGTAAAAAAGGAGAGTCAGTCAATCGGATTGGGGTAATATTTTAGTAAAAAGTGAACTTATCCAAAGGTCGCGTGACATCCTTTGAAAGATTTTCTTTGAATGATTAAAAACAGTTATCGTTATACAGTACCTTCATTCGTACGTATGTACGTTATAATATAAAATACATGATAAAAAATTACGTTTATGGTAAAACTCCGAGAAACTTTTTTTTATAATCTTGTGCAAATTAGCGAGTATTGAAAATTGATGCATTAGTGTTAGAAATACAAAATTTCAGCCATAAGCAGTTAAGTAGTACAAAATTCTAATAAATACACAATAGTTTTTGTTTAAAAAAAAAAAAATAAATAAACATTATAGTCATATTACTCGAGCATTGGCATTACGTTTTAAAAATATATTCAGATATGCTTTTAATTTATGCGTATACTATTTATTAACCTAATTTAGTTGAGAGATGCATCTCATAGGTCATAGGATATCATATAAAATATTAAAAGTACTTCAATATAACCAATCTTGTATGTCTTTGTTATGTACAGTAACGGTAATAGAATTTTTTTTTTTGATGTATGTCAACAAAAAATAATAGAAACTTGACTAAACTACTGAACTAGAACGTCATTGTTACGAAAATGCAGGGTATAGTGCATGTATGCGTGTGAATTTTGATCACCAGTTCATCTAATAATACGGTAAAATCTATAATTTTTTTGATCCGAACTTTAAAAAACGCATTTTTGTTCGAATATCGAAATTTTATTTTGCAAAGCCATAATAATTATGTAATCATTATTCCCTTAATCATTATAAAGATGTTGATCATTTTCTGCCAAAAAGCTAAGAAATATAAGATAAACAAAAGAAAAAGGAGATGATGGTAACTCTTTGGCATACAGCAAACACATACAAACAATTATCAATAATCTAATAAGTAATTAACGTGCGGCTAATTATTCATAGTCAACCTATAAGGGTATATAAGAATAAGTAAATAAATTAGAGGATTTGGGTAAATGTGATTGTTTACATACTCTTTTAAGGTAAGGAAATAGGTAGAATGAGATTCCATTAAGAATTTCGTCATTCGCATATTTATTTTGCATTTTTTTCTTTTTTTTTATTTTAATACATAAAAGATGAAACATATAAGATTACTTAAACAAAATAAACAAAAATAAACAAATAATAATCATCATAAGATCTTTCTTTACTTCTTTCATAATGTCTATCTTGTATCATTACCGGAACTCCGATTAAAATAATATTCCATTATTGTTAAAAATTTATAAAAATATATAAATGAAATCCCATAATGAAAAATGGTGGCGTGATAAGTCATAGAACCACTTACAGTATCTACGTGTACTTTTTAAATGATTAAAAATTTCGCGTTTGTAAGGTAAATATTAACAAAACATTTTACAAAAAAAAATAACAAAAATCTTTAGTTACTATATGTGTAACAATGAATCAAAATGATGCCGAAGCTGTGTTCATAATTTTATTTTTTTTGTTTTCTCTTGGCTAACGAAGAAATGAACCAATTAAAAATTAATAAAAATCAGTTGTACGAGAAATATGTAAGATACGTATAAAAGAACATTGTTAAATATCGATACGTACGTATGAGAAATAAAAATAGTAACTAAAAAGGAACGTTACACGAAGATAAGGTCACGCAGTATCTGATATCAGATATGGTTTAATTATAAACGGAAGTTTATTAATCTTTCTAGAAAGGGACTAACTTAGTCAAAAGTATAATGACAGACGTTTGTTTCAAATCGCTCACGTGCAAGGAATTATTGTTTATTATGCCGGTTATATTTGTTTTTCATCATTATATTCATTATACATAGGAAAAACTTACCTACTATATAAATTATTTAAGGAGTATTTTACAAGAATTCTAGAATGGAAAGTTCGTAAGTATTTTTTTTTTTTTTTGAAACTATATTTATATATAAATTAAATGTACAATCATATTTAACAGATGTAAGATAACATTTAACGAAAAGTTAGAACACAACAGATTATTAAAAAGGAAGGTATTTCAATAATTAAAAGATATTCGCGACAAATAGAAAAGAACCTTTTTTTTAAATTAAACAAATAGGGAAATACCTTCAAATTTGAGATCTGATGATTGGCAAGATAATTTACGCGTACAAGTCTTAATAATAATTTATTAGATAATTTTACATATTAAGACGCGTGTTAACAGCTATTAAGGTTAAGACTTTTTTTTATTACGATGTCGACGACTATGTTTACTAGAATTCCTTTTTAGTAAAAAAATAAATCAGAAGGTTTAACAGAAGGTTTAACGAAGTCAAAATAACATGAAACTCTTAAGTATCTTCTCCTTTAATTAAATTATTTTCACCGGCTACGTATGCTTTCAAGATCCCTTTTTGGCAATTTCTTATCGAGAAATAAAATAACAGACGGTCGATATACGTATAACATGAAACTCAAGTATCTCCTTTTTATTTAAAAATAGTAATTGATAACCTTGTAAATTTTTTTGTGTATCAAAATATGATGTAAATTCAAATCATATTACTATTAATCTTACTTTAATCTTACTATAATCTTACTATAGTATAGTACGAGCTGTTATGTAACCTACTACGACTTTAAAACCTTATTATAGATAAACAATGACGGAATCCAATAAACAATGATGATTCTGAAAAATTATAGTAAAAGCCGAAGAAACAATTCCATGTTTAACACATGGACTCCTAGATTAATTTTTATTTGCGAATATGAATTTTTTTTTGACTCTGTAATTACTAATAATAATTTTTTTTTTATTTGTTGATTTGAATGAAATAAACATGTGTTTTTTTTAATGTTTATAACTTAGCATATAACCTAACATATACTGTTTTGTTTTTTTTTTAGTAAGCACTCGGATATTCGGATGATTGTTAAACATAATCGTATTAAATCATTAATTGTCTTGTTTTTATTGATTACTATAGAAGATAAAAAATGTGAATCAAATATTGATAATTTACTTTAAAAAATAAAAACTTAATACTTTAAATACTGTAGAAATGTTATCCTTGCATGCGTAATGTGCCATGCGTCGAATAATAATTTGCATCTTTAAAGAAAAATGAATTAATATTAATTAATATTGTAGAAACTCGTGAAATAAAGCTCGTGAAATAAATGGTTCAAAGATTATTTTTGAAAAAGTAAATTAAGTATAATAAAGTTATATGATTGACATTACTAATATCCGAAGAAAAATCGAACCAGCTCCAATCATACTTATCCCTGATTCTTGTGTTCTTGTGTTATATTCACGTACGTACGTACGTACGTACGTACGTACGTACGTACGTACGTTCGTACATAGGTGGCACATTCATTGCTTTACCTAATTGTAAATATATATAAGAATCAATTACGCGTTCCATTTATTGTTTGTAAATTTTGGCCTACTTACCTTTTTACATATTCCCATATTATATATTAACATTAACAAATTCTGAAATTTGTTATATGTTTTTTATTTATTATATTTTTATTTATCATTTTAATTTATCTATTATTGTATTACTATTTTCATATACTTTACATCATTATCAACAGTATAATTAATTTATTTAATAGTCAACTTCAATGAAAAACGCATTAACAATCTAGGACCTCATATATTATTGATATGGCGTTTGCATAAATTAAGTCTCTAAACCAATAACATAGCTTGCCTTAATAATATAATTAAACAATTCGATTTAATAACAAAAATTCAATTTAATAATATAATTCGATTTAATAACTGATGTAATATATAGTTAATGTTTCTTTAGCTTAAAATTTTTAAAATTTCGTGTGGGGTAAAAATCTAACTAATCATGGGTTGTTTTATTTGACACGAGATTCAATATATAAACTAGGAAGGTGGCATTCTGTACCCCGCTTAATAAATACTATCGGTTTATTGATAAGAAAAATAAGAAAAAATACAGTAAAATTACAGTAAAATTATAGTAAATATTACAGTAAAAATTACAGTTAAAAATACAAATATTTATATATTTTCGATATAGTTAAGAACCTTGTATAAAAAGACATCTACTTTACGACTGTATAGGTATGTGTAACGACTATCCTTTAATAATTTATATATTTTTGATCGGATATTTAATATAAAGGGTTCCTACAAATATAGAAAAAAATCCTGCATTTTATAAAATTAAATAGTTATATAATAATTATGCAGAAAAGCTGTTCCCCTTTTATATACCCTGTATATGCTCTGTATATGACCTGTGTATGATATCATTGTAAAACGTACTATACTAAATATCTGATATTCATGAGATTACGATACGTACTATACGTACTGTACGTACTTACTTATCTGTTATGTACGTACCTGACTTCTAAAAAGTATGCCGATTATAAAACGCATTAAAAAAACATTAATAGAGAGCGCTTTTTTAACCATTGACATAAAAGATATAACAAACGATGGCAAAAAGTATTAATAGTTAATAATAATGACGAATGTGACACACTCCCAAAACACTCCCAAATAGTCGGATATTTGTATAAACCACAAATAGTTAATACAATATTCAAAAACCAACGAAATCCATCCGATGTCCAAGTTTTTCTTAACCATAAAAGAATTTCGCATTGTATTGACTTATTCAATTAAATGTAACAAAAAAAAAAAGAAGAACCTATTGTTTAGTTATATGACCAATAAAAAACCCTGGTAAACGAATTTTTTTTTTTTTATTAGTATTGTTATTTAGTTGGCGTAAATTTTTTTATTTATATTGAATAAAAAAAAATTTTTTTTTTCTATGTACGTACATAATTCCATTGACGAAAAAAAAAGGCAATACACTTTTTAGAAACTGTCCTTTTCTGAAAAAAAAAAAAAAAAAAGCAAAATTTGAGCAAAATGGTATAAACATTATACGCTTGTATGAAAACCAGATTAAATAATTCTTTGTATCAAAACCATTTTTGGCGATAGAAATCTGTTTTTTTTTTTTTTTAAAAAAAAAAAACAGTTTGAAAAAATTTCATAATAATTACAACAATACTGTAATAATTATACAGTAATTATTATAATAATTAATATAATAATAATCAACGACAATAATAATAATAATAATAATAATTATAATAATTATAATAGTGTTGGTTTTTTTTTAGCTGAATCGTCGATTACTAATATTCACCCTGGTATTCTTGATATAAAAGAAAGTATATGCGTTATTTCACACGTGCGTTTAATGATTAGGATTAGATCGAATGTTAATCGAAGATCAAATGTTTAATCTCGTTAATGTTCTAAACGTTATATAACTGATAGAATAATAATATACTATTATTCAACTAATAAAACGTATAAACATTTAATAACCGAAAGTCAAACTTACAATATGGTATATATTTTTTTTTCTTGAGTCATATGTTTTATATTCATTTTTTGTTCGTTTTATGTTATTTCTGTTATTTCATCTTATTTGTCAAAATTTCCGATGTAAAAAGGGATGAGGCTTAAGTTTCTCAAACGCCTATTATGTACTTACTATTAAATATATGTACTGTACACTATACATTGCCATTTATAATAATATATATAAAAAAAAAAAAATTTTTTTTATTTATATTGTTTAATGTATAATATATATATATATATATATATTATACTTTTAATTATTATAATTATTATTATTATATATATATATATATATATATATATATATACGTAGTTTTATATATACGTAGTTTTATAATAAATAAAATATATACACATATTTATACATTATATAGATATTATATATAATAATTATATAAAATATATTATACACAATATATATTACAATATATGTACCACAATTTTTTATTTGGAAAAACGTATAAATGCTCCCAAAAGGAGAGCTTTTCTATCCCGTAGCTAAAACTTTTTAAATATTCAAACTTCTGAAAAAAAAAATATTTAAATCACATCACTTCCTCCCTCATTCTCCTCATCCATCTTACTCTCGAATCTTTTCCTTAGATTTAGCTACTTAGCACTAGCATTTAAGACTTTACCGTCTTTTATCAATCTTTTCTTTTTGTAACGAACTTTAAACAAAAATAAATCAAGTCCTTCACTTACGACTAAAACGATTTTTCAGATTATTCATCACTATCACTAATCGATAGTTCGATATAATTTCAAACTAGTCAAACAAGCGACGATTTAATAATCATAACTCCAACTTCTTGTCATTTTTTTTTTTTTTTTTTTTTTTTGCGCATCTTACGTAAACGAAACGACAAATATAATTCCACTCAACACAACACAAGAAAACTCAAGAAAAAAAATGGAACAAATCAAGCAAAAATCAACAAAAAAATTTTTAAATAAAATTTTCCATCCTCACGCAAATAAGAAGAACTCCTCAACAGTTGCGCCCCATGAGAATGAATTTGCTCCTTCTTTTGTCGCTTTAGATCTTTCGAATCATACCTCTTCGCGTCCTGCCATTACTCCTACAAAAAGCTCAAACGAGCCTTTCCGTTATGAGAGACCAAGCTCAGTTCATAGACGTTATTCCTTTTCTAACGTTCATGAGAATGGAAGGCAAAAGCTGTTAGCAGCAAAAAGAAAAGAATACCAAGAAAAGATGGCGGCCTTTGATGATCTCATTCAAAGAAGGCGTGGGGTTACTTTAACTTATGCTTTGAATCCTGAAGCTCTTAGTCGTTAAACTATCAGCAGGAGTTACATCCTTATCATAAAAATCATCATCATCATTTGTCATCAAATCAAACACACTATCAACTTTTTTACTCTTGACACAATTTTCCAATCATTACTTATTAGTATGATTGTTAACACACTCCAAAATTATAAATTACTATTACTTACTTACTATCTATATATATTACCTTACATACCTTATTATATCTTATTATTACATATATTCTTAATATAATACCCCAACAATTCTTTATAGTAGCTGGCTGCTATATTTATATTTCAGAAGATAAGAAGATAACCGAATTTACTTTTCATTCTTTCGAAAAATTATGGTTCAAAAAACTTTTTAAGCTTTTTTTATTTTTATGTCGAAAAAAATCTACTATGCCATCTTTTATATGCACTATATCATTGACTTTCTCAAAAATTTTCAAAAAAAAAATTTTTTTTTCTCTTAAAGAAAAAAAAAAAAAATTATATATTATTAAGCTATTATTATAACAGTATGAATTTTATCAATCTACGATCTAGACAAAAAAAAAAGCTACTATCAATTCATTATTACTACTACTACTACTCTATTATAACAACTATGAAATTTTTTTTTTAAAAAAAATAGGTTATCTCTTTCTTCTCTCTTATTTCTTTATTCAACTTATTAATCTGCATAATTTTTCGCCGTTTTTTTTTTTCTTTTTATTTTGTCAAAATTTTTTTTTCTTTTTTTATTAAAATTATTTTCTGAGTTTTTTTTTTTATTTTATTTTTTTCTTTTAACATTTATCTGTCTTTTTTTTGAAAAAAATTTGTTTGTAAAAAGAATGAAAATGCAATTTTTTTTTTTAAAAAAAAAAAATTGAAAAATCGATTTCAATAAAGATTAAAAAAAAATATATATATTTTTTAAAATATTTAAACCTTTTGGTTGATTGTCAAATTTTAAGTTTACCAAGTGATAAGTGTAATAAATATATAAAAACAAAAACGAAACGAAAACGAAACTTTTTTAAAGAGTACGAAAAGATAGTATATACATCTGTCAAAAAAATGACATCTCAATAGTTACGTCCTGTTGTGATCACATGATTATGCGTAGTGGTACACGATTTTTTTTTTTTTAAACTTTTGTTGAGGTTGTGCGAAATTTCATGCTCAAATAATACAATAATACCTAGTACGATTCGTTAAACTTTGTACGTATGCACGTATAAGTATGAGCTATAACACATCATTTTATAAAACAACATATGATTTTTAATTATCTTTTTAAAATAAGCACACTCTCTAATTCGCCAAAGATATCAAAAACCATAGATATCAAAACTGCAAACAAATCCACCATTTATTTCTAACGCTAATAAACTTGGGAGTCATTACAGCATACTTACATTGGTTATCGCTATTGCAAGTCTGTGTTTGCATTTTATTGTTGAACGATAATGCGCCATGGATCTGGATTTTCCCAATTTGTAAACTTTTTAAAAAAGTACTTACGCACGTACGTACGTACAGTACGTATGTACTTAGGTTAGATCCCCTTTTTTTTTTCTATATAATAACTATGGATAAATTGAAAAAGAAAATGATATAAACCGGGGTAAATTATAAAATATAAACCAGGTACGACTGTAATTACAGAATGTTATACAGTATATAGCGATAGAAACAAATCATTCATTATCATCTTTTTTTTTTTTTAATTAGTGCACCCAAGAACCTGATTTCTTGAAATTGATAATTGGTTATTTTTCCTATTAAGATTTTTGTATTACAAGCAAAATTATCATTATACCAATTTTTTCAAAAGTATTTGTAGCTTTGGTTACGAAGAAACCTCTAAAGTCTCTCCCTTAAGACCATATGACCAATCAAGCAAGGGTCTGCATTCACAGATTTATAGTAATATTCTCTTTAGAAACTTATAAGATCTTTTAAAACTGAGTTAAAAAAAGCGTGCATTTACAGATTTAGAGAAGGGCATACATAATGTGTGTATGCATTTATGTTAATACTTTGTTATATTTTTTATGTTATATTTATGTTAAGGGAGAGTTTTTTCTTGTACCCTGACATGCGTGTAGTGAATTTGGATTCATTTTTCACTGATTTTCGCTTCACCAACATTATGATTTTCGGTACAATGATTATCAGTGAAACGATACTCCCCGTATTGTACGTTTTTAAATGTAGGATATCCCGTAATATTCCTATATATAACATATATTTTAAAATTTATATAACGTATATTCAACATACGTATAAATATATATATATATGTCAATTTTGAATATATAACTTTAAATTAATAGCTTAAAGAAGGTTGTTATATTAAAATTTTATCGATATTCGGTGGTTACACGTCACTATTAGTGACACTATTCGTACGTATGTACATTGAAAGAATTAATGTTAATTTTTTGTCTAAAAATAGAAAATCATTTTCCTAAAGGTATCACGCTATATATTTTCTTTTTTAAATAAGAAATACTAATTATCTTTTTATTTTAATTGGATTTTAATTGGATTTTTATTAAGAGGGTGATTTTACTCAAAATGTAATGCCGTAATCACCATACGAAATGACGTATGTACGTACGTAAGCATCCTCCTTTCCATAAATCTTTTTAACTTTTTATCGATCAGTCATCATCAGTCATCATTAAAAAAATCATTAATTAAAAAAAAATCCTTCTTGTTACATAATACACCTTTTTTCCTGGTTATCTCATTTACCAATGGTAGATCTTATGTCATTCTACATATTTAAAAACTTAGTTTAATACTAAATTGTTGATCCATTATACTAGTTTCGATCATCTTTGGATCTTCAAACGTGATGATTATTTTTCTCCTTAAGTTGTTATTTTGACATGAAAGACAACATTGCATGAAATTATTAAGGAGTTTAAAAAAGCTTTGTATGTAATCAATTCACAAAATTTTTCTTGGATATATGACGTAAAAAAAAGGTAATCTCAATTATGATGATAATTTCTTTTTTTTTTAAAAAGAAAATCCATACTGTAGTGATAGGTTTGAAAATAAGCAGTCAAAATTGGAATTTTAAATAATATCATTAATAGATTAATTCGGTTTTTTTTCGGATTTTTTTTTTTTTTTTTTCTATCTAGGGGTAAGTACGTACACCATTTAGCCGAAAAAGCACTGAGTAATCGCTGAGCTGTTAAAGTCATTATCATAGAGGTCATTGAGGTCATAGAGGTCATAGAGGTCATAGAGGTCATAGAGGTCATAGAGGCCATAAAGTCAAAAGGTCATAATAAAGGTCATAGATGTAGTGATATAATTTAACTACTTTTACAGCTTTTACAGCTTTTACAGCTTTTACAGCTTTAACACGTTCTTCAAATTAAGGTTTGATAAAGAATGGTCACGTTATACCAATACGTACGCACGTACGTACGTACGTACGGTCGACTCATTGATAACAAAAGCGTATACAGAAAAAAAAACCATAAATATCGTACTTTGTAATACAAAATCCTAATAAATTTTAACTAATACATTTTTGAAAATTTGTGAAAACTTTTAACACTCATTTTAAACTCAAGAATGTTATTTGCCAAGAGTCATGAGAATGTATCGTATTCTATAATATATCTATTGCATATATAGTATCAAAAAGTCATGAGAGTATCGTACTTCATTATGTTATGCAAGAATATTTTCATGAAACATTATCATGTTCACGTTATCATATAATGAAAATAGAAAAACACAATATATAAAGTATGCTGTGATAATTATAATCATTATTGGCTGGCCTATCTTTATCGTTTATTTAAAAAAAATTCATGTAGTTCATCTGATTAAATTCATCTGATTTGATGATGATTGATGCGTATCGGTACACTTTTTTTTAACTCAATAATTTTGATGCATACACATTATACATTAAGGCGCATTTGATTTACCTGTTAATTGATAGTTTTCCCGTTAGTGCACACAAAGTTATTCAACCTTCCCCCTTACTTACATACTTTGGTGAGATTAGTAGTGAGATTAGTAGTGAGATTAATAGTGAGATTAGTAGTTCGAGAATATGTATATGCGCATGATCATAAGAAATCAACACGTTTAAATCCAAAATTTCACAATGTTTTCCTGTATTATTATTTGTATCTGTAGCCTTTGTAGTGTCCAGCACTAGGTAAGCTCACTTTCAAATCATTTTCAAATCATTTTCAAATTACTTTCGAATCACTTTCGAATCACTTTTCAAATCACTTTCAAATCACTTCAAAACACTTAAACCTCTCAAGAAATCAATCAATCAATCAGTCAATCAGTAATTACTGAATCAACGTTAAAGAAATCATTTATAAAAATCATTAAACTCGTTGAATAACACGTATAATTTCTATATTTGTCGATAATGGAATTTAGGGTTTTCTAAAAAAAGCTTTCTATTACCCGGGTCAGGTTGACCTGTACGGGTCAACAACGCCTTGATGGGTCACGAGTTAAAAATTGTCATTTACCCAGGTTAAACGGGTTAGTTAAAGAAAAAAAATGAAAGAACTCAAATCAATCCTAAATATTAAAAATTATAAATTATCTGGTTTGTTCTTTGTAATTATTATTGACCCGAGTCATAACTTTGTCGAAAAAAATGGTTAACTCGGATTTGACCCGGGTCGCTATCTTTTACAATTTTATCTCCGCTACTTTCGTACTTTCTTTATCATTTTCTTTATCTCATTTTCTTTATCTTAAAATAGGAAATCATACAAAACGTATTATTACTTTATTATTTTATCAATATAATAAAAAAGATCTTTTTTTAACTATCATCAAGAATTTAATAAAACCATTTGTAATTAATACTATGTACTGTTCGGTATTATCTTTAAAGTTTAAATTTATCATGCATTAATTAAATTTTCAAGCACTTTAAATATTTTAAAATCTCGAAAAGTTTTTTAAACCCTCGAAACCTGATTTTGTATAACTAAATGCATTTGATACTTTGATTGTGTGTTTTGA